TCTCGCAGACGCGGAGGATCTTTCGGTCCGGAGACTTCTTGTGCCCCGACCCCAGCCCAGCCCCCCCCAGCCCCTTCCACGGAGATCTGCTCCCCGGAGCGTTTTCCGCGGGGAACCGGCGCGGGCAAACAGATGCGAGGCCATAAAACTCAAAGCAAATTGATTCATCTCCAGGGAGGACCATTACCCGGTGTCTTAATGCGGTCCTCTCTCTATAACTAACGTTTCTAAATAGAGTAAACACTTCCCCCGCCAAAGCAAATGAATTTCGTATAATTTAGAGCTAATTCTCTTTCATTCTGCCTGCGTGAGCAGGCGATAAGGGCGCGCTTTGCCGTGCTGACGACAAGGCGGCGAGCTGCGGTGCAGGAAAAGGGCCCCGCTTGGGTATCCCGGCATTGCGGACCCCGATTCCAGGGATCACTGCTGCCTGGCTCCTCGTCCTGCGAAGCAGTCTCTGAGATCTGGCTGAAGATCCACTCCAGGCGAGGCCTCTGAGCTAGGAGTGGGCCCCACTCCAACGCCCACTCGGTGTGGGAAACGGGTGACGGAAGGGGCAGGCAGCAATGGTGCGAATGGACCCGCTTGCCCTAGCAGCAGGCTCTGCAGACCCCACTGTACCGACTCAGGGCAAAGGTCTGGTGACCACGTACCCTCTCCCTAAATGAAGTCTGTACGCATCGCCTCGGGCAGTCGCAGCGGAGTGTGCACATGAGATACTACCCCCAGATTTTTCTCCCGAACTTCCAGAATTTTCTGCTCCAGGGATTTCCTGAGCTGCACGGATTTTATGGTCCTCAGCTGCTTCCTCCGCATCGTAAGTGTCCCCTGAAACCTCATGCCAACTTTTCGCTTCCCACCATCTTGTGGCAAAGCATTCCCCCAATTAGCAGCCACTGTGCGAGGCACCGCCACCCTTTGCTGACCTTGCACCTGGCTGCATTTGCTTAGTCCTAATGCTCCAGCTAGCAGAACCTTGAGGTGAGTAGGCACGATGTCAGAAATTGAGTGGTGCAGCATTGCCTCTTTAGCTCAGACGTGGACCCTACGAGACCAGCAGCACTTCAGCACTTTGAATAGCAAGCCCAGGGGGACACACTGTCATCTCCCAGCTGAGAACTTCCCCTGCCCTGACTCTGCAAATCTGTGGTTTTGGCAAGCTTGGAGTGACAAGAAACGTGGCCACCCTCAGTCTATAGGTAACCGTGCAAAGAAAAGACAGCTGATACAAATATCTTTATTCCCACTGATAAATGTATGACAGAGTTTTAACCATTGAAAATAGAAAAGTAAGGAACATGCTGCACACTAGAGCAAATTAACGGGTTGGGTAGATTCCTCCTCACCTTGAAGCCTAGCTGGGTGTATGCTGCAGTTCAGCTGGAGGTCCTGTGCTTTACCTGCAGTAAGAAGTTTTTATGGACCACAGCAGCCCCCAAAGACCTTGGGGATACCCATGGTTGCCACGTTTAGATGACCCAGTTTCATCCGTTGAGCTGGAAAGCTCACACTACCAGCTCTGCATTGCGTCTCATTTGTGAGCACAGTCCAGGTTGTTCCCTCTAACAGCACTTTACTCCTTTGAGGACAATTTTCTGGGCTACTCAGTGCTCTCATTAAAGTTGATGTAAGCATCTGCTTAGAAGGTAAATCCCTGCAGTCAGTCGATTATTCCAAGGGATTAAACAAAAATGAACCCATGAGTCTGTATCAGTGATCGAAGGGTGATGGTGGTAGCAGCAGTACTGAGCAGAACAGGCATGTTGTAGCTATCCTCAACACAAGCGCAGAAATTCAGGTGTTCATCAGTAAGAAATTTTTCAGGCACTCAGCTGTTGCCATCCTCCAGTAAGATCACACAGTAAGCACGCTGAAATACTTGTATTATCATAGTAGATTCAAGTATGTTTTAAGGGCTTATTAAGATCTGATCGTATTCCTCTACCTTGATGTTTGCCTGACAGAGAAGAGGTTGTCTGCATGGTGAACTTTTACTCCGTATTATATGAAGCCTAAAACTTTACAATGTAATATGAGCGCCCAGAGCTTTGGAAAGCCAAGATGTATACCTAACGTGGTATCTATGTTTTTTTAAAATGTATGCCAACATATACAACATGCCTCTTGAAATTCAGTGACGTTTTCAATGATCTTACCTTCAACGGTTAAATTAGAAACTTAGTCTGAGTCACTGTATTTTGAAAGTCTCGTCTGTGTCTTCCCCAGTAGTGTCTGACAGACATCACTGCAGGCTGCTGAGCTCAGTGAAATCTAAAATCATCTGGACACAGCAATTTTATTTATTCCCTAGGAAAGGTGGCAGGAGGAGTCTGTTTGCCCTTTCAACGCAAATAATTTGTGAACCTCTACTGAATTAGCTCCCTTTCCTTTTTTGACCTTTACAGTTGGACTCAATGATCTTTAAGCTCTTTTCCAACCTAAATGATTCTGCCATTCTACGATTCTGTGATTCTATGGCTGATGGCTGTTTCACCCTTCCTCCCACCTCCCTGACTGTCTAACTCCAGTATAAAGTAGCAAGGAGTGTAGTTCAGTCACACTTCTAATAGTAATCTGGTTTGATTTTCTACATCTGCATGGTATTTGATGACTTCTCGGTGCTCAACCACTCTTCTGCAATCCATATTTTGACAGAAAAGTGTTGAAGGTGAGTGGAATGCATTCAGAATCACTTCTTTTTCTCTACCGCCTGTGCTCAGATCAACACAGGGAAACTGTATCCATGGGAAGGGCCGGCAGCGGGAGAAGCAGTTGACTGAGAAACAGAGCTTTCCCAGGGATTGATTTTTAACACCCCCCACGGCTGTATCTAGCAGCAAGGTAACCTTTCACAAAGCTGGTTAATAATCAATAACCATGTGAAAACAAAGCTGTCTTTCCCTCTTAGCACCAACGATAAAAACAAGAGCATGAACTGTTCCACCTGCCTTAAAGTAACACTGGTCCATCAGTTGGGGGTTTTTTTTGGCAAGAAGCTTTTTTGGTCTCTGAGCAATTCTGGCAACTTCAGTTTGCTCTTCCCATTTCCCACCACGCATCAGCTTCTTCACAGTGTAGCTGTGGGCCACATCCTGAACTTCAGGAAGACACGATTACACAAGCTGTTTTGAATAAGACCTTGTCCAGGATATATGCAGGAAAGTTGCCTTGGAAAAGGCTGAGAGTAGGAGAGGATTTTTCATGTGTAGTCTCTTTTCACACTTTCTCTTTTACACCTTTTAATTTCCTTCCCCTCCCTCCCGAATTTCATAATTTCTTTTTCTGGTAGGAGCATTGCCTGTCACCAGGGACGCACAATTTCATTGCCCTGTAAGAAGAGTAGAGGAATTACTTTAAAATATTGTGAACCTTTCCACTGAAAAAACAGAAATTTCATGTTGTCTGCCCTGCACAACTTTTTATTTTCCACTTCATGTTTACATATATACACACATACTCAGATAGTTACAGACAGAGGAATTCAGGGCAGAACTATAACCCAGAGAGAACTCCCTCACATCTCTTGCCTGCTTTATTTTCCCCCGAGACGCTAGGCTCTTTGGAGCAGGGCAGGTTTCGGGCTCAGACGGAGCCTGGCCACGCAGGTGGCACCTGGCAGTTCTCACCATAGCCCTCCCCTCTTGTTTGTCCATTGTAACTTTGATGGACTTCAACCACTTGGGCTGAAATTTTCCATTCTGTATCTCCGCCTCTCACCAAACCTGTGGGGAAACTTTCCTTAAATTCTTTGGGCTGGTATGAAATGAAGCTGGGAACCGGTGATGCACTGGGGCTGGCTGTACTGGGAGGGGTGTGGAGTCGCTGCCTGTGCAGGTCTCCAAAAATGAGAGTAACCGATCTGTGGCCGATCCCAAACTGGAACAACTGGCACCTGGAGACAACAATCCTGCACAGCATTTTCCTACCCTGTTTTCTTTGCTGCTGTGTTTCTTCGCTGGGTTTAAGCATGTTAGAAGTCCTGCTGGGATGTTGTCCCACAGTAATTCCCTCCAGACCAATCTCTCTGTGCAAAGCTGCCTACATTTAGTCAAACTCTGAACTGCTGCACATTGCACAGGCTCCACAGATATGTCTTAAAACTTAGCAGCCAAGCCCTTTGCAACTTCTTTCTACAGTGACCTGTAGTCCCTGCCCTGATCCTCAGGACTGAACGAGAGCTCACTGCGTTGCAGTTGTGGTATTGAGCCTGGGAGGTGAAAAGCTAGCAGATGTTCCTAATGCTCCATCCTCCAGCCCTGAGTAGCTTGGAGGAGGAAGGTGATTTATGCAGGGGACACAGAAGACGCTCACCCTTCAGAGGAAAGCGTTTGAAGGTCCGGGTTTGGGCGTGCTCCCAGATCACCTCTGGGTGAGACCTGGGAATGCACCAGCCTGGCGTTTTTCCCCTCCCCTGTCCCTGCCCACAGGAAGAAACATGGGTGTAGGAGCCAGGAGAGAAGGAAGGTGTGCTCTCACCAGCCAGATGCCCAGGTGGAAAGCAGGACTCGGGCTGTGCTGCCCAGTGCTCCAGCAGGTCTGACCAAAGGGAGACAGTGTAACCATGATGAATCTCTTGGGTGGAGCTTCCCAGAAAGGGTTTCCAGCCGCAAACACCTTGCTTTTCTGGGTGACTGGTCTGCAGCAGCTTGAGGTACTTCCAGGAGAAGGGGAAGCTTTCAGGGAGTCTGGGTGTGAACACCCAGTGTCACAAGAACGGGGCTCTGGAAGTGTCTTGACCCTCTCCAGGGCCGTCCCCATGAGCTTTTTCTGAGCTGGTGAGTCCAGTAGCACTTTTGAGCCCTTCAACTAGGCATGAAGGATTAGTGGGGACTTTTTAACTTAATCCCATTTGTTCTAACATGGATTCCATAAGGCATTTGCAGTCATTGAAATCCGTTTGAAAACCAGGGCACCGGATTTCATTCTCCCCTCCGTAAACTAACACCACATCAGCCCTGGAGTTGCTGTGAACCTCCCGGAGCCCACAGAGGGAAGTGCTTGGAAGGAGCCCAAGGAAACCTAACCCCCTGGCCTCTGAGCATGGGTGTAATGAAATCTGCAGTGAATAAGTCTTGGACTCAAGGACCTCAGGAAGGAAAGCAGAACAAATGCAGAGCTGGTTTAACTGGGTTTTGTCTATAACATGTTGTTAATAAGAGAGTTCTGGGTAGGAACAGGAGGAGGGCAGGGGATAAAATGCCATCTCACAAGGTATATAGACAGCGGCATCAGCTGAAGATGTTCAGTCAACTTCCTTGCTCATAGTTCCTTGCCTGTGTAATACACTGTAATGGGCCTAATTCTTCTGTTCATCCAGCAAGGGAAGAGAAATGTGTCTACACCTTACATGTCCAATCAGTTATTAACACAGATTGAAATCTAAATACTTAAACAAATAT